GAAGAGGTATGCAGCAGCTCACCTGAAACTTATTTCCTAAATTCAGTACACCATTTTTTTTTACCACCATAGCCTTATAAGTTTCCACCACAGTTGTTGGAAGTCAATGAGATACCTATGGTGGGCATGGGGTTTTATGCATATAACTTTTCGACAGTGCGGTGACCTATGTACTTGCAAAAGATCGCCAAGTGGCATGAAGTATGCACTTGTGAAACTGTCAGGTATATATATGTATATTTACGGCTTATCAAATTTCTAAGCTTATTTCTTTGATTTATTAGTTCATTAGGTCTTAGAAGGTCGTAGAGCATTATATAACCTCAATATCATCCAATTGATAAGAACGCAGAGAAGTTTAGAGATGGAGGTCACAGTGAACACAGTCATCAGGCACAGTTGAAGACAGTTGGATGCATAAGTTTCGCAAACAAATTGTCTCATTCCGATAAAACTCGGTCAAAACCAGGCTAAATTAAGTTCTGCCATGCAGATATTGCACTCAACTTGGAGGTGAGCAAACTGATTCGATAACAATTAAAACAATGAGTGGCTCTTCTTGACCACCACCACTAGAGATATGAGCTTGTTTCGGCGAATGAGAATATTTGCATAAATCCAAAACGACCCTGTGGCCTTCAGTGTAACTTTCGGCAATGACTTTTAGTAAATTATGAAAAGTCATACAATGTTCCCAACAGTTTACGCGTTTTCCAAAGAACGAATGTGTCTCACTAGGATAGCACGACAGCCTCCACAGATTTGAAATGCACTCGTTCACTTTCCAGTTTCAGTGCGCCTCGGAGTCTAGATTGGATGCAAAACACAGCAGTGGGACGCGCCGTCCAGCTGCGCTCTAAACGACTTGTTTCTGATGCTGACTCCTTGTGAGTGGGTGCGTTGGATTCGGAGAGATCTACGCTTTGTCAGTACTGTGGAAGTGTGTGTCGTCTTCGAGACGTTACGGGCATGGACAACGAGAGTGACTAAAGAGTACAATCACAAGTGCATTCTTTGGGAAAGTGGTGGTTGAGGCTAAGCACCCAACCTACACCCCATGCATCAAAAAATTGACATTGGGCGCCAAAGTCGATGAATTACCCTCTGCCGCACCCTTCCCACCTACCTCATAAGAAGGTGTTGGTCATTGCCGTTTAGCATTAAATGAAACAACCCAATTGTCTCCAGTCCACCCACTCAATGGTCCATACTTTTATGCTATATGATAGAGATGTGTGTGTGTGTGTGTGTGTACATTCACAATAAAATTCCTTACTGAAGACTCAGTATTGGTGGCTGCAATCGATTCGTTCGTTCCTTTGTAAGGAGGAGTCAGAGGAATCAACCAGTGGCGATATTTGTCGAAGCCACTATCACTCCTCCGCAGCATTAGTTGACAACCATATGCGTACTCGACTGATGAGGAAAGCAGGCAAGCCAAAAGTGGAGTCGAATGGTAAAGAATTTTTTCTGGCTTTGGAGGCAAGAGGGTTCGCTAAAACGCGCCCCATGTGTTCCGATCACATTAGGCAGGGACAACAGCTCGAAATGGTACTCGATTCAAAAAGTGAAGCGTCTTTGGGAGGTTTACTCTAGTCGCTATTAAAAAGTCTAAAATTTTTTTGGCATAAATAGGTCATTTTTATGCTAAAAATTATAGTTATAAAAATTATTTTATCCTTACAACTTTTTGCCGTCATATGTCAATTAAAAGCAGGTGACGTTATATTTTGCTGTTTTCATTCTTCGACGTTGTGTTCATTTTAATAGAATTCAAATCCATTTTTCACCAGTCAAAGTGGTTTAGTAGGGCCAGGAACTTCAAGGCGATCGTTTGCAGAACTCAATTTGCATAGACGAAATTCCTGAAACTACAGGACAGGTAGAAATAGGCGTAGTGCGCAGCCGTTACAGACAAAAGGGGTTTGAAGGTTGTTGCGATCTTGCTGCAGCTTCACATCGTTCTGAGTGGAGTGTTAAAGACCTTGAATTTGGAAAGCGAGATATCCTAATGTAAACCCAAATTCTATGCAATAAAATGTAAACCTTAAAGCAATTCTTAATGCCTACTCTTATTAGTAGTGTCAAAATATTTCTACAGCTTCCTCCGTCACGGTGAATTCAATCCACACAAGCCACTCCAGTTTTACCGATCGTTACTAGACAATTTCGTTAAAATTTCCGTTGAAAATAGCTGCGCCCAACATAGTTGAAGACAGGCATCCCAGAATGAGCCAAAACGATACGTTGCTTTGTTCTGCAACTGAGGGAAGCATGACTTTCGCAGGAATGTTTGAGTGTTATTATAGTTCAGAAAACGCGACTAAGGGCTAAATAAATGCCAACAAACCCACAGAGACATTCTTATCAGGTAAATTAGTCCGTTACTCCGTATGTTGATAAAGTAAATATGAGGAATTGTTGACACACCTGAAATACGGACATGTTCAAATCATACTGATCTACTTCTCCCTTAAGTGCTAAGAATCGCTTTGGATGAAACACTAGCTGTCACTTGAAAGTTCTTGGTCATAGAACCTACAGTTCGCGTAACAATTCTGTGCTAAAGTCACCGCCAAAAGGCAGCACCAGAAGTAGGACGCTGTGTGGGAGGCAATCAAGAGATTTGCGAATCGTTTACCAGACACAGCAGTATCAGGGGTTTGCGCATTTGCTATGGTGATATAAGTACCAACCTCTTGCCCAACCCAATCCTGTATCGCGTACACTTCACTTGTAGCATGATAGAGCTTTTCATTCATTCCAATTCAGCATAACCAGGCAGTAGAGTTAGCACAAGTAAAATGTATAGTTCCAGAAACTTGCCTTCTAGTCTTTGAGACGTCCACTTAGTAGAAAATGTGCCAATATTTTAGGAGCCTTTTTTGATTGATAAGCATCATTTTGCAGAGTCTAAGTCTTATGCACAAAGACTCCCTCTCCTACTGCATTTACCGCTCATCTACCATAAATCTGGTCAATTTGATTATCCGATTGAGTGATGGAATGACTGTGAGGTTTTACTTTCAAGTCTCAATCCAATCGCGTAAAACAATACCTCGAAATGAAAATGGTGTTGTCCATTGCGTTGCGATCTTGCCTACTCTGTCCACCATTTCTTTACATAAACAAAAACACGAAGCGGAGACCAGGCATTCGCAACTGCTAGGCTTTTCTGCTATGGAGACTATTGGGTAATGAGTCATCAACCCTCGTCTTAGAAAAGCCCTGCTGTGCCAAAAGCAGCGGCCCAGGTATGGACACAATGTGTGAATATGGTCACAATTAAAAAAGAGCCTTCAGTGATGAGACTTAAAAGGGTTAGAGTTGCACAATTAGGACCTGTGCATTCATACTTTGAAATTTTGATGATGTAACAGGAACGTCACTAATTGCATTTGCAGCTACACCGATTGCCCGGTTCCACTTTCCTGTGAGTATGATCGGGAGGATTAGTAAAAGGTATGCCACAAGTGCAGTAACGATCTACTACACTATAAATCTACCAATTCGACGGCAGTCACTGAACTGCACTATACTCTGTTTTGACAGTAAATGGTATTTTTGAAAAGTTGCACACTAGATCAAACGTTACAATGAGTAGGGATTCGCTTCCATAAGGAGCCAAATGGGAACACTTTCTTTAAAGTGCGCCAGACCTTGGCGCCTTTCCCAACCAAGAGCGTGTATCGAAAACTTACCTTTCGCGTGTTCACGACATTACTACAAAGATATAAAAGAACTTCGTTCCAGTAGGGAAATCACTTGGATAGAGCATACTTTGCATAAGAATAACACACCTCCTAGCACCTTAAATGCAATATCACGACAGTGTAACGCCCCGTCCGTGCAACTATCAGTACGACTGGTGACCACTTTAGTAATCATAGGACCCTAAGCTGCGCGGACTGGTCTCCAGATCAGGCCAAGGTACAATTCCACTGTCCCATTCGCTCTGAGAGCGAGCAATTAACCCTACTTAGCACCTACCTAATGAGAAGACTCGAAAAGTACCACACTCACTCTAAAACCCAAATCGCCTTCACAAGGGAACATCCACGCATGAAGCCAACCGCCTTGAGTCCCTCAGATCACAAACCACGTCCCAGTGACGCCCCACTTACGTGGATGGCAATAATGAGTCTATAAATGGACTCACCAACCATCCCCAAAAGATAGACTTTATCACTGATTACATAATGCGAGAATCAACCGAACCTTAGAAAAAAGGCAAGGTGTCTCAGACTAGATGACTTGGAAGTCTATAGAAAAGCATTGGGATAAACTAGATTAGATCGAAAACATAAGCGACTCAGCTCAATCGGAAAAATACATCGACACTACATTATTGCCACCAAATGGGCCACAATTTCTACAAAAGGAAATAGTAGTCTGTTGTAGAAGACCGTTTCAGCGATAGAGATAGTCCGCGTTGATATTCGCGGCGATTTCCACCTCCCACCGATCTCCGTTTTCTAGAAGTTTCTCCTTGTTGTATAGGAGCTCCTCGTGAGTTTCCGTCGAAAACTCAAAATTAGGACCCTAATTCAATCAAAGTACGAAAAACGTGATACCCACTCGCGGAAATTCAACTCAAAAAAAAACGACAAAGCATAGGCAAACCACCTTCAGATTAATTATTCGAAGGGAACACACCGTGTAAAATGCATTGAGTTAACCAACTCCTAGTGTACACGTATAAAAATCCACAAAAGCTCATAAAATATGATGAAGTTTGGCGGGGGAACCTACCACCTCCCGCACATCAAAATTGGATCGTACCTCAACGATGGCGTCGACAGGACACGCTTCTTGACAGAAGCCGCAGTAGATACACTTGGTCATATCTATGTCGTAGCGGGTCGTACGTCGACTACCGTCTTCCCTAGGTTCGGCTTCAATAGTTATCGCCTGAGCGGGGCAAATGGCTTCACACAGCTTGCACGCAATGCAACGCTCCTCACCACTGGCATAACGGCGAAGTGCATGTTCACCACGAAATCGGGGACTAAGAGGACCTTTTTCAAAAGGATAATTAATAGTCGCCGGCTCCTTCAAGATGTAGCCAAGGGTAATACCAAAACCTTTTACGATCTCAGTCAGCAATAGCTTGCGTGCAAGCGTATCAACACCTTCAGATATGGAGTCACCTTCAGCTGCCTTTGAAACAATTTTATAATTCTTGAGAATAGTTGACGAACTAAGCGTACAACTAGGATTGCATAGAAGCTGACTCGACAACGGCAAGCACCGGCGCAAACACCATAAGGACATGTTCTAATGCAGCGCTGCTACAACGAATAGCCATCTAGTATTTTAATTAATTATTTTTATTAGATTTCAAAAATTATATAAATAAAAATACAAATAATTAATAATAAAATAAAAAAATTTATTTTTTGGGAAAACGAATTAAAATTTATTAATTAAATTAATAATTTTTTGTATTTTTAATGACTGAATTATGGCGCAGTGCATAAAGAGGGTCTGGGTTCACATTTGTAACTCAAGCCAGTTAAGCGGTCATGGCTTCCACGGACGCCGCCACTGATCAGACGTCTTTGGATCGGACAAAGAGAGCCAAATTCGCCAAGGTAGTTAAATACATCATGGTTCTTACATTCTTAGGTAAAAAATAAAACCCCAGCCCCTATACAAATAACTGCTGAACAAATTCTCAGAGAAGCCAAGAATAGGGAACTAGAGGTTGCCCCAGTTGCACCGACCCAGAAAATAACAAATCTTGCTGAACTAAGGGACTTTCAATTGCGAAAACGCAAGGACTATGAGGATAATATCCGGAAGAATAGGCTTGCCATGCAAAACTGGATCAAATATGCAAAATTTGAGGAAAGCCAGGGCGAATTACAGAGGTTTGTCTCGCTCGTACACTTCCACTTAATATACTTTGAAGTATTCGTTTGTCTTAATGATATGGTTTTAAGTACTGATCGTTCTCTCCGTCTTATTGAACTTTACATCAGCATTTACTTTCAGTGATTGTTTTGTGTTTTGGTCAGTAAGAGTACGACTTTCTCGTTCATAGAGCACGTTCGATCTTCGAACGTGCACTCGACGTCGACTTCCGCAACATAGGATTGTGGCTTAAGTACGCTGACATGGAAATGCGTAACAAACAAGTAAATCATGCGCGCAATCTTTGGGACAGAGCTGTTACACTGATTCCAAGAGCCAATCAATTTTGGTATAAGTACACGTACATGGAGGAATTGTTGGGGAATATTGCTGGCGCTCGACAAGTATTTGAACGTTGGATGGAGTGGGAGCCGGAAGAACAGGCTTGGCATGCCTACATTAACTTTGAACTACGGTATAAGGAGCTGCAACGTGCTCGATTAATCTATGAACGTTTTGTTCTGGTCAATCCTGAGCCCAAGAATTGGGTAAAATATGCTAAATTCGAAGAAAGAAATGGTTACATTAATTCGGCTCGGAAGGTATTTGAAAGGGCTGTTGGGTTTTATGGCAACGATAATCCGCAGGCTCGCTTGCTGATCGAATTTGCCAGGTTCGAAGAGAGGCAGAAGGAGGTATGATACCTTGCTTGAACTTCACACATTTTATTGGTATCTACATTTTTCTTTTTTTTCTTAGCACGATCGTGCTAGAGTTATATATAAATACGCTCTCGATAATCTCCCATCTAATGAATGCCCTGAGATCTACAAGGCGTTCACATTGCATGAGAAGAAGTATGGCGATCGTTTAGCAATCGAGGGTGTTATCCTTAACAAGCGGAAATTTCAGTATGAATCAGTACGTTAATATTTGTTGGAGACTTTGAACAGCCAGCTTGCGCATTCATTGCCACTTCCATAAAACGTTTGTAGGAAGTGGAAGCGAATCCCCATAACTACGATGTCTGGTTTGATTACGTCCGCCTAATGGAAGAAGAGGGTTCGGTTGAGCAGACACGAGAGCTGTACGAACGGGCGGTAGCGAATTTTCCTCCCATCAAGGTAATGGAGATAATTATGGCCTTTAATATTCTCCGACGTGCTAAGTGACGGGCTTTCATGATTTTCTTGCGTTCTAGAGGCGAATATCGAGGGTGTTAGTGAGTAGTTTTTGTCCCTTTGGCTTCAGGAAAAACGTTATTGGCGTCGATACATTTATCTATGGATAAATTACGCCCTCTATGAAGAGTTGGTGGTGGGAGATGTGGAGAGAACTCGTGAGGTCTATAACTTCGTTCTTCGTCTCATTCCCCACCGGAAGTTTACGTTTGCCAAAATGTGGTTGTATGCGGCGAAGTTCGAGATACGTCAGAAGCAGTTAACAAGCGCCCGCAAGTTATTAGTGAGTAGTGACTTAAACTAACGCCAAAAACTACAATCGCTTTTTAGGGTACAGCACTTGGGAAGTGTCCCAAAGCTAAACTCTTCCGTGGTTATATTGAATTGGAAATCCAACTACGTGAATTTGACCGCTGTCGGAAACTTTACGAGAAATTTTTGGAATTTTCCCCAGAGAATTGCACGACTTGGATGCGTGTAGGTCAAGATAGTCTTTTTGCATCCCATTGTACATGCTTAACATGTCTTTCGCGTAATTGAACTTCGTTATTGAAGCATTTTTGGTTGTATGTCGATAGACCAAAGAGCCATTTTGGTCCTTTATTTTGAGTTCGATCTACTGTCTTGATTCGTATAAGTTTGGCATTCCACTAATTTTAATTCTACGAACATGATAAAAACATAACATTAACCTCAGTTTATTATGAATCTAGCATAAAATACCCACTCAAGTTTGATAAATTTTAACACTTCCTGAATCGAACAAAGCTACCCTCCTGTTCAGTCGAATAAACTTTTTGTAACCATAATTCCTATAACTTTATCGACACTGTTCGTGATTGCATCACTTATCCATGAAGTATTGAATCCCCTTTGTTTTGTAGTATGCGGAAATGGAGGCTCTGTTAGATGAGGTGGAGCGGGCTCGTGCTATTTACGAATTGGCGATTTCGCAACCCCTTCTAGATATGCCTGAGATTCTCTGGAAGGCATACATTGACTATGAGATAGAACAGCGTGAATGGGATCGTGCGCGTGGTATCTATCGTCGCCTTATGGAAAAGACGCATCACGTTAAAGTAAGGCGAATCGGGGTGCTTGGATGGGATACACATTTTAAACACTTCGTGGCACAATTTACGAATATCAGTTAATGTCAATACATTAATAAGCAGCAAACTGTGTGATAGTAATGACTGGGCTTTTTGAAACGGTTGTAGGTTTGGCTAAGTCTGGCGAATTTCGAGCTGTGCGCGCAGAACTCCGCGATGATAGAGGAAGAAAACGGGGAATCTCCTGGTGCCACCGTTGTAGCCAACGAGCTAGAGATGCGAGCCGCCGTCGAGCGCGCTCGCGCAGTTTATCGGGAGGCCAATGTTGCTCTTTGCAAGGTTAACGATAAGGAGCAGCGTGTTCAACTCATTGAGGAGTGGAAGGCTTTCGAAGTGAGCTTAATAATAAGATGCACTCGGCAGTAGTTAAATGCCTACCCTCACAATTTGTAGTTCAATTGCATCTGCAGTAGTTATTCTTGACAACTTGTACGTCGAAGTGAAGCAAGAGAAAATGTTCGAAAGGGATAGTTGTAGGATAGACAAACAAGAATCCAAAAACGAGATTAAAAATAACTCCTTTACTTGCCATACCAAGAGCGAAGCGAAATTAACCCGCCTAGTAAACCATTTATTTATCTATTTATGTACACTACAGGAGGAGTATGGGAATGAGGAGACGCGGAAAGAGGTGGCGAGTTTCGAGCCGCAGCGAGTGGTCCGCAGTCGCCGGGTGGACGAGGGAGGCACTAGTGGTGGCTGGGAGGAATACGTTGAGTACATTTTTCCCGACACTGCTGCCGAGCAGCCGAATCGAAAACTACTTGCCTTCGCCAACAGCTGGGCAATGCTCCACGAACATTCTGATGATGATGATGATGATGGTGATGGTGACGACGAGAGAGAAGAGGAGAATGAAGAGTGCGATAACGCCGACGGTGCTGGCGTGCTCAGGAACGACGACAGCAGAGCCGACGTAATGCAAACAGAGATCCCATAAGTAAAACTAGCTAAACTCGTTGATGATGGCGGCTCTCTCGAAATCTATGTATAGCTTCGACATTTCTATGTATCATATGAGTCGAGCTGATATGTAACGATTCGCAATGCATTCTTTGCATATCGATTTGCTCTCGACCCAGTGATCGCAGCCAAAAAGAATGACCAAATCTTCGCATCCAAAAGTAACGGCAACTTCTACCGATTGAGCTCAGCACACGTCTAATTTCTAGAAATGCACCAATGTAAAATTTCTAAGTCGAAGGAAGCCATTGGCGGTTAGTGATACAAGCGGTACACCGACCAAATAGCCAAAGGACAAGCCAGTTACTTAAAAACACCTAGTCTTTTATGCGAACTGGTAAACTGAAAAATGCGGCACGACTAGGGGCGCACTGGGAACCACAAAACAGCCACCTCGCACGACCGTCCGTCCATGAAGAACCAATTGCCTCTCGGTTCACCTCTGTGAGACAAACCCTAGAAACCGAAAGAGTCTATTTATCAATGGAACTAGGGATGGCAAGCTAACAATTTGATATGCACCAATCATCCCAAAAAGGAACTAAGCATAAGCTGGGGAAGGGTCACCTGAATGATTTCTTGGGACACTATTCCGCCGATGATTGCACTTATGGCGACGGACGAGGGTCCACAACAAGATCTGTAGAAGATAAGTTATTTGAGCAAAATGCATTAGATGCGTAGTAATCATGTAAGAGCTACTACGTGAAGTCATCATCCGACAATAGTGACGTCGGAACACCGAGATCTTCTGCAATCCGGGGCCAAGCTTCCCTAAGTATTCGAGCAGATAGGGGACAATCGAGCCTTGAAATGACTAAAAGAGTGAAAATTCACAAAAAGAATAACTTTTCGCAAAAAGGAAAACTGCAAATGACCTACGCTGCGTAAGGTAAAATCCCTTCGGCATACGTTTAGCAGTCAAAGACGCATTATCGTTAAAACGCCAGCTAAAGTTAAGGAAGGCGTTCAGTGAAGGAAATTCTACGACCTAAACACAAAGCTTATGTCAAAAACCGATCAAAAAGGTAAGATTACACAAGAATCAACAGATAAGGCGGTCGATTTCCCTCTGTTCCCATTTGGTGTAGTGAAAAGAGCATCACCCACTGCGGGCTTGCAATTGCGAACCCGATTATGGATGTCCCTAGAGAGATGAGAAAAATATCAAACGAACCCATCGTAAGTGTAGCAGCCAAGGTCAGCAAAACCAACTGCGTGCATTCCAAAAGACATGACACAATGTATGTTTGGTCTTTTAGGTAGACAAGAGAACTTCGTAACATAATCAGTCCAATGCCCAAATGCTCCATCCACCGCAACTATCACTTCATTATAATCCTGATACTTGTTCGAGAGGAAGTCCACACTCATGCTTTCCTCACATGTTATCGTAACCGCCTCGTTGAGTGTCCGTGCCCTTTTCGCTGCCGAAGTGTTTCTCTTTCAAAGTAAGCAAAAAAGACGACTACCATCTGCCCTGCACAGCATCCTTCATACAAAAAACATTGCTCGATGTCATCCATACTAACAACTTTATCGTCACATATCGTCAACGTATCAACGCCACACAAAACAATATTTTTGATTATTTCAGCAGCAATAGGTGAGAGCCCAATGAGAAGAAGCTTTGTCTTCTTTAACCGAGACTGCGCTTCTAATCCCCACAATCGAATCTGTCGGTCATATAATGCAGCTTCCTCCTCAGAAATGTCCTGAATGCTCATCCACAAAGATGTGTCAAATAAAGCACACGATTTTGAATCATGGCAGCGCTTCTCGAATCTATCACTTCTGTTATTAGCGTAGGTCAAGGCTATTCGTAAATAGTTATTTCAAAACCATAGCCTAGTTAATAAGAGAAAATGAGTCAAATTTTAGACTTTCAATAATTGCACGCTAACGATTACAATGAATTGAAATTTATGGCTCTTATATTTTTTGTGCCAAAGAGTTGTTATGTTGAGCAGTAGAAACCGATGCGACCTTCAACGAATTAGTAGTATTTCAGCTGCCGATTTGCGCTTACCAAGGTGACTACAATTATTTGCTAGCGTTGTGTTTTCCGTTTTTCCTTTACTACAACGGTCGTGAGTGATACTTTTCAATTGTTTAAAGTACTATAGAATACTTCTCTAAGAGATGTGTCGTGCAGTTCGAGGTGGGTGCTTCATTAAGGAAAAAATCATTTGCTAATATAGCCTCTCATTGGACGATTTCTTTAAAGTTCTTTCATTCCCTAATAAATTTTGATGGTTGTGTCTATTATGACGTCTGTAGGTAGGATTCTGTTTCTTCGAAATACTTGTTACTTTTCTTACCTATCGATTGTTTACTAACTGTTTTTGTAGATTGGAATGATTGTCTCTGCACTTCTAACTCCCAATGAGAAGTGCTGTCTTGAGAACATAGCTACTCGTATTATTACAATTAACATAGCTTGTGTTGCGCGTCTTTATAAGTCCGAGAATCAGCAATGGGTCAGAATTTCTTCTGGCGTTGTTACACTTGAGGACAATGCAGCCTTGCGTGTTGTGTCAATTGGCTTTTATGACCTCAACGTAAGTTTTGAGTTGTATGTTGTTAGTCTCCTGTGTAACAGAGTAAATGCTGGCTTTATAGGATGTGTATATTTTGTGACTGCAGTTGACGATTTCTATAACCGGGGCTCTGATTATCACAAGTTTTACCACTTATTGTCAAGAAATTCAATCTACTCACTTTTGAATTTGATTTTTTCTGATTCTTCTGTTTGAATCATACCCATTGTGAAGAGCTAAAACGTGTCGCAGTGCTTATCTCATTGTTGAACTTACATAACCACATAACATTTTTGGTGCATGCGTTTTTCATACTGCCTAAGCCTGTTTACGGGCAATGCTTTACTCGAATCTTTTGGTGCTTCTCGAAACAGGCATATTGTGGCTCTAATACCATCTCTTTCCTACATAATGCCGACTTATCGCTTGCACTCTTGGTTGGTGAGTGTCGTGAATAAGATCCACATATTTATGAATACAAACATACCTGCGTACATGCATCTCCCTTATTCGGACGTAATTAGGCTGTTTTTTATAGGACTTAACAGTTTGCTTTGCAGCAGATGATTTTATCTGATACTTGTGGTTTAAAGTTTTCGCAGCTATGTACGTTAGTGTTCAGGTAAGTAGGCAAGCCTACACTGGTTGGTTAAAGCGTAAGAGATGATTACGAAATAAATCCTTATTTGATGCTTACATGGAACACTAATGCATTCCTTTTTTGATATGTCATCACGGTTTCCCTTACGAATGATAAACATAAAGGGTACCTTACTTTTTCAATTTGTTTATAGTTTACCTAGGTAAACGGTGTTCTTTATCAAACCAATCATTTACCATTTCGCATACGATTTTAGAAGTGTAAGAAACTGTTCAAAACAGATTTGTACAAAGAAATGGAATATCGAGAGTGTGGACCTCAGTTTCATTCCTTCAATGGCGTGGCTGGCCCTCTCGGTTTAGCCTTCGCTTGTCCCAAAGAAGCTCATGATTTGTTCGCCTCTGTTCAGGCCAAACTAAACTCTTCACCCTCAAAAACTGGAAAATTTGCTAATTTGGTGCATAAGGCGAGAGAAGTAAGGCTTTTTTGATACAACTATTTTTGAAATGGAGCGGCATACAGTGGTGCAAGCTCTTTAGGCAAATAGAGTTTTGAAGTGCGTGCTTTTGTCGCATTAGATATTTCAAGTGCCTGTGATGGGAACCATATTCAACTTCACGCATTTTTACTAAATGAGTGTTCAGGACCGTTGAAATACATGAGGTTATGACAGAAACCAGAGATGCGGGGCACTTTTTACAATATTGAGCCCTTTTCCTCATTACAGGGTTTTCACGGACAAGCTGAAAGGGTAAAGGTAAGGGAAATTGCATAGTGGGCTGCGGCTTATATATTTTATCGGAGCAATTCGAAATCTCAATTTCATATATGTTGTTACCTAAGTCCATTGTTTTCTTTAAATTTTAGAGACGTTTACGAAATGAGCCGGTGCGTGTAATTTTGTCATTAGTGATGTCAGCGTTTCTAGTCTGTTGAATGGCACTCGTTTGTTCTAGGCTGACGTGAAGTTTGCAATGAAGGATTTTCAGCACATCAAGCACGTTGGCATTGACTCTGATGGGAAGGATTTGGAAGTGAAAGCGCAGAATAAAGAACTGGCCAGGGAGCTGCTTGAGGCACTTGGAGTGGCGTCACTATCTGAAAACGAAATTAAAGCTGTCTGTAGCATGATTGACAGGTGCGGAGCAACAGAGGTAAAGCTTTAAATCGCCAACTTCAGTTCACGTTCAAATTAAGATTTATGAAACCAATTTGCTGTTGTTTGCTATGATTTTTTCTGGGTATAGTTTTAATGCAACCTCGCTAAAGTAAAGCTGTTTAATTTTCATAAGGGCAGCTACCTAACTGATAAGGATCACGAAAAACTGTTTATAAATTTTTGAATGCACAAAGCCGGAGTACTCGCCCAAACGGTTTATCTTACTTCACTTCCAGTACGTCTTTTTCTTAAGTCGTATCTCATTCACTCAATAGATGGTAAAATTGATGGTTTTATTTTCATTTTCACTTGAGCATATTTTAACAGTGATGCTGCTAAATAATTGAGTAAAAGAGCAGAAGCTAACTGAATTGGCGTATGAGCAAGAGGTTGTCGATCTTTATCGCTGAGAGTGAAGCAAATAGGTGAAAAGTGTATTCTGGCATCTTGCGCTGATCAATTAATTTGTTGTGCTGTCTTGTCTGCATGGGTTTTTATTTTCACACAAAATTTGGGGAAGAGGGTCGTTAAGAATTCCTTATGTGGAATTTGGGTGCAAATGTCACCAAAGTAGCATACCCTGAAGCCTATATTACTAACCCTATTTCGAAGGAACAAATAATTTGTGATTTTTGGTGCCACGTTTGATCCACCGAATGCTTATTATGCCTGTTCTCGTTTCTCTCTAGTGCTGTTGGGAATTTCTATCAAGTAACTTATTTGGATTGTTTTATTTAATAATCTTTACAGGACTCTAGCCTCCAATATAAATTTTGCGTTTTCATTCGAAGGTCCAAGAAGCACTGGAAATGCATAGTTATCAGGAGTTAGCAGAGCCATCCCAGCCCATACCAGTGTCGACCCCGCCATTTGCACCACCACCACCACCACCACCACCAAAACAACTAGTAAATGCGGATCATAGTAACTTGCTCGACTCAATCGTCGGTTTTGATGCTTCTAACCTAAAACAGGTACATCAATACTCCTATTCCTCTTCACCCTATCTTTGATGCCTAACCATGCAAGAAGTATAACATTCTAAGGTCGCCATGCTCTATCAACTATAACTCGAAATCTTCCTTTACTGGGAATTACGCTTAGGTGAAGAAGGCTGACAAGGTTGAGAGCTTGCCAACTAAAGGATCTGACAACGTACATGCAATTGAAACGGCACTTGCCCAAATGTTGAAAAATCGCAGGATGTATTTAAATGAATACGATTCAGATGAATACAGTTGATTTTGACTATTTTTACTTCTACAGCACTGCAGACGTAGCGGGTCTATTGTAGCTAGAATTCAGCAAACATGTCATCGATGGTAAGCCAACGATTTTAATTTGGGATGTTGCTATAGGCTCTTTCGCGCTGCCGTCTAGGTCCCTCTGCGGTGCTTATTTAAGAGGCTGTTTGCATGTGTGGGGTTTATTTGGCATTTGGTACGGGTTGTGAATGATAACATAGGGACAAGAGAAGGTAGCTCCTGGAGTAAGATAGGAGCGACATCGGTTGACCTCGCAGTTGCGAACTGCGGATTAGTATCTTGCCTCTAATTCATAAAGCTCATTTAAGCAACTCATCGTAGTTTACGGTTATTATTTTTACAAACACGCAGTGAAAAGATATGTAACGTGTATTTTGTAAATTACATCCATGAGGAAGTTGTTAGGCTACTTTTATTATCGGTTAAAATTTAAGATTGACTTTATGGGTTTATGATTTGCATTTCGTTCAAAAAGGCTTAAAACCGTGGCAAAGATATGCTGGTATTGCATTCCTGGTTGAATTTTGATAACGCGATTTTGAGTGATGTGCGTTCTTGGTATAGTAGAATGCGACAAGTGCCACCTAGCGTAGCGCTTCTGGTGGATCCTAAGTTTCTACTATCAAATGCACCCAACTTGTAATCAATGCATGCTTTTGCGTGCTATCAAATGAGTATCATGTGCTGGAGGTTCACCACTGATTTCTTGCTAAAGGGAGTCTGACAGCGTTGTTCTCTTAAAAATGCAAATTAGGCTGTCGTTTCTGAGTTCATTAAAACACCACTTCATACATTTTTCATTTAGATCTAGCATGGTTGTAAAAAGGCAAAGCTTTTGCAAAATGTCTATTGGAGGTACTAACATCAAACTGCGCCACCCTTTGTGGGATTCACCGTGATATCACAGCATCTGCTCATGTGCTGCCATCTATTAGGTCACCACACATGCACTGAGTCACTTGCATTGTATGCAAGGTGGTGCTATTATAAAACTTAAATAGAATTCCCGGTGTGTATAGGATTTATGGTTAGAAGTTGGCCCTAGCATGGTCCCACCTTTGTCAGGACGAAACCCTCCACATGCTCATTCGAAACGGCTGCGATTTGAGCTTCGTCTCAAATTGGGTTGAGTTTCACACGACAGCCCCAAAAGCGGCGGTGATCGACAGGGGTGATGGGTAACATTTGCATTGAGTTTACGATTGATAGGTATTTCGGTAAAATGGGTTGTATGACTGGAATATGGAAGGAGAATAGAGATTTGCACCGCATTTTACCAGTGCCAAACAGAAACAATGCGGCGGGTTGTATAGCTCTCAGCCGTCTGTAGTGGAAAACGGTCTAGATGGAAAACCCAAAAGAACGAAACAGACAAAAATAGAAGTCACACCCAACTCTCACCGGTTATTTGTCTCAGCATCTACCATAGGAGCACACGTTTCTTAACAACACAATATTTTCTCTTGAACAGTTCAATTGATTTTATCCAACCGACGTAAAGTAAGTAAGGTGCGTTTCGCAGCATTGAAGAAACAGACTTCTGATAAAACAACACAAGTTTAGAATACTAAATATCTCTTCTCCAAAGAGAAGACATTTAGGTTTTCTTAAATACGAAATGCTAACCAATTGAGAGATCAACATTCGGCTGTAAACGTAGAACTCTTCAACAGTGGATCGTTCCACTTTTTAGAAAACTGGTAGTGGTAACAATGGTGGCAATAAAGCATCACGCTAGAATCAGCGACTAACATTTTAACGCGAAAACGATTTGCCTACTGACCTGAACCATTACAATTTTCATTTTACACTGAAGCAAAATACAGTATTGGAATTTAATAACAGTTTCTCCTTCCTCGATTTGAAACCCAAATCCCTTAAAATGGGTCTCAAGGAAATGGCCACATCAGAATGGTAGCTCTTTACATCCGGAATTAATCTTCAACCTGCAAAATCCCGTCGATAAGACACTCAGAGATAGGCAATTATACCGCTACCTGCTTACCCCTTCAAAGTCGACCGAGTCTCCCACCATCTCTGCTCCACTCATACACGGCTAGTAACGAAATACTTAAAGACTCAAATGGTTAGACGAGTTCATGGCGAGTCTTACCCAGAATTCTGGTTCTCTCCATACCTTTTTCCATCTTGAGTGCTATCCATAACTCTGACCCCCGTTTCACGAATTCGATTCTTCTCTACATTAGCACTAAGATTTGCTACGCATTTTACTGTCGTAAATCATAGACCCAGCGCCTTTATTTAACCTATTAGATGAGCTGAATATTTACACTAGCCTAAAAATTTAGATGCAAGTCAAAATGATCCCTTGAACTACTTGATATGAACCAGAGTTACCACCTCATTTGTGATTTGAGGGAAGCAGCTCAAGCAGCGCAATTTAGTTAACTGTGAGGGAGCTGCAGCTGAACATCTAGCTTTATCTTACAGCACTCCCAACTTTTCGGCATAGGCATATCACTGCATCGAATGCGCTAGCTAAAACAAAACAAACTGGTCACCTTATGCCTAACATGTTCACCGCACATCAGTGATCTGTAGGTCCACAACAGTGGATGAAGAGTCACGCATTATGACGAGTTCAAGTTACAGTCTGCTACGCAGATGGAACTGAGGAGCATTCACACTTCCAAACAAAAGCAAGAGATTATGTGTTGGTCTCAATGTGGTGAACTCAACCAAGAAGTTCGAAATAGCGTTACTGATGTATTCGTCAGTAGACGAGGCTGCCGATCACCTTACGTCGCCAAGATAGTGACTAATAAAATGAACCTGAGTAACACCCGCGATCAGCCGTAGCGAATGCTCCATCAGAAATGAGATCAACTGCTATGCTTAGTAAAAGTAGCCACGAATCCTATTCACCGACCCACTTGAAGCACAAATTCATTGGCATATTTGGGATATAAAACTGGGTGGGATTTCATTGAATGAACAAATAACAAAATATAAAATCGACGACGCGAACATCGATTGAGATGGATGTTACATTGTAAAAGTGAGTTTATACAGGAACAAGTGTTAAAACAGAAGTGTTCATGACACTAGTGTTAAAACCGGCTGAATGGACAAACATTTTACTATGTACAAAAGAAATTCCAATCAACAAACATCGATGGTGGACTAAGATATTGGTCAAATGACATCTGATATCATAAAACTCATTCATTCCCACGTTCGCTAGAGCCTTCTGGACACTTTGACACAATCTGACAGGCTACTGCTGATTCAGGACAAGAAAGAGAGGAAGGAGAGCGAGGCTTTAATTCGCTTGGAGTGAAATCCGGCGGCTGAGAGGGCAAAACAGGCAACCGATGAAAACATGATTGCATCGCAGATGACGTGGAATGTGCCAAGGAGGGTAGACTTGTGGTCGAAGGACAATTGCACCCCATCCGCATGGAAAAAGGGACAGGAAGAATGGGCGAAGAGGGCGTGGATACGGGAGGAGTACATTGACTAGAATCTCGTGGTGAACCGAGGTGCGAAAGCACATTATGGTGGTTGACTGCACCTTCTGACGATCTCAAAATTTTCCCAGATCTACAGAACGTACGTGGAGACTCAGGAGAACTCTCACGACTAGCCTCAGCACTAGAAACCATGTCATTATTCCGCAGGCATTTATAGGTACGCTTCTTCCCGCGATTTTTTCCAAAGATCAGTGGACTCGCGCTGCTGCCACTACTTACACTTGCAGTCCGCTTTTTAGCGGCAAAGCTAGACGGGAGACCGATGCTGGGGGAATAGCACTGAACACGTGATGAAACTGGCGAGGCCACAGGCGAAGGATAGCACGATGCTGATCGAGAGAAGGAGACAATGCCAGGAGCCGTAGCTATCGCAACCGAGGATCTAGATTCACTAGCGTTGGTGTTTGAAATACCACCACCGCTGGAACATGTGACAGAGATCACAAGAGGGCCGCTAAAGGAATTCGGACGGTGACCGACAGGACTACTTCCCGAAGATCCAGGAGAAGAAAAACCACAGTCTGAATACTCTGGCTTATCAGTTCCCGTGAGGCGGAGGTTTGCCCAGGATGAAGTGAGACGGGAAGTCTCTGTCAGATGTCTTTCATGCTTCATCTCATTTTTTATGTGCTCCTCGGCCGTCACGTAAAACTGCGCAGAAGATCTTCTCAACACTCGCCTTTTTTCGAAGCCTTGTTCCATAAATGATTCTTTGACGCAAAACGAAAAGCGTCCTAAAAATGGAACATAAACTCACTGTCTGTAGTGTTATTAAAAACTATGCAACACATATTTTAATTAGAATGACGCAGCTATTATTAATAATCCGTACTATACCTATCTTTCAACAAAATCACCTCCCACGTAAATAAGAACTGGAGCACCGCGAGCAACAATGCACAAAGCTGTGTATGCGAATAATGTAAAGCATGAAATCCATAAACCACGTACAAAGGCATCAGAAGACACGAAAAAAAGCAATGAAAGCAAACACCTCATCACTTACACCTTCGTTACAGGCGCGTCTCACACTGACTAGTTCAAACGCAGCATGCAAAATCTAAAGAAAAATGCATAAAACAATCAAATAAGGCACAAAAAGCTACAGTTTATAACGTATAAATGTGCCTTGAAACGAATTAGTTAGTGATATTGAAGAACTGAGTATGATATTTTGGTAATGAAATTACATATGTTTGAGGTCAGTGCAGTTCCGATACGCCTTCTTAAATTGGTAAGAACATTTTTTCCTCTTTAGAATGAGCCTAAAAAACGTAATATACAATAAAAGTGTGTAGTTTTATTTAATTAGCAAACCTTGAATTTTGGCTAGCATTTATGCATTGTCCAACTGATTCCTTATTCCCATCATTTGGTTATGAACTACTTGAGACTTTTCCAAGTTCCCGCTTTTTTGCGGACCGATCCTCAGATCATGGAAGTGCATCCTGACCCATTCTCTGCTTTGATATCATGCTTTCTGACTGAAAATTATGGCTACTTTCGTCCCCTTGGATAAAAGAAAGCCTTAACTTGGTCTAACTACATTAATTGAATTGCTTTGTTTATGTGATCACCTAGTGTCTGGCGGTCACTTTGGTCCTGATTACTTTTGTACTGGTTGGCTGTTCTTTGGACAAAGCCTAGGCGCAATGCCTTCTTATCTTCCTAGAATACATGTATTCGGCCTAACTTAATGTTTTCTTCCATCTGGGGAAATGTCTCGAGACGCTGCACCGGTGCGAGCGGAAAACAAATCTGGCATATTCTAACAACTTCCATCCTGGTGTCCACCGTTTGTGACATATCTACAGTGCGGAGGAAACGCACATACTTCAGGCCGGAGATCGTCTGAATTCTTAACAACAGAAGGGTTGAGAATGACGTCTGGGTCTGATTCCAACTTGCCCTCTGTTCTGCAGACATGCTATTAACATCTGAGGCGACACCGCCGTGAACCGCTTTTCAAAATTCCGTACTACATCTGGGTATAGATGTCGAGAATTACACTGCTTCAGATCCATTTACATATAGAACTGTTTCATACCGTCCTACATGTTGAAAATTTATCTTAGTCCAGTGTTCCAATGTCTACTCTTGGATGCAACTCGTGGTCAATAGGTCCATACGATCGTGATTCCGGCTTTTCGACCAAATATAACTTCTGACCCAAATGAAGCAGCTGAGGAGACCAACTGCTGTTCCTCAGTCTCATAGTGGCTGATGACTGGTCTTTCTAGCTCGTTAGTGCTTCCTTGTGTGGCACTGGATGTGTTGTGATGGCTGACGCGAGAGGTGTACCAAGGGAGGCAGTGAAATACTGTTTGTGTGACCACTTGTATGTCTAGAGGTTACTTTGGTGTTCGTCTTGCTCTTTTACGCATGAGCTGGCCCTCGGATTAAGTCAATGCCAAATCCCTTCTCGTCCTTTAGAATACACATATTCAACCCAATTTAATGCCTTCTTCGATCTGGTGGGAAGTCTCGGTGCGCTATATGTATTCTATAAGAATGAGAATGAGTAGGGCCTTGATTTGGTCTGAAAGACTATCCCACGTGTATAAGGGCAAGTTGGATACCAAAGTAACCAACAGACATTAAGTGGTCGCATAAATGAAGTATTCCCTAGTAGTAGACTAGTATGACTAGTAGATTTTCTATTTACTGCGGGTTGAAGAGGTATGCAGCAGCTCACCTGAAACTTATTTCCTAAATTCAGTACACCATTTTTTTTTTACCACCATAGCCTTATAAGTTTCCACCACAGTTGTTGGAAGTCAATGAGATAC